GTGTATGTGTATGTGTGTGTGAATGCATAATGAAAAGCGAAAAACTGAATTTTAGCAAAAATTAATTAAACAAAAAATGTCAGCCGAAACCTGAACGAAGTGATTCAAACGAAATTAAAAACGTGAAAAAAATAGCAAACAAATCGGAGACGTGCTTAAATAGAAGAAAGAAAGAAAGACAGAAAGAAAGACAGAAAGAAAGAAAGAAAGAAAGAAAGAAAGACAGAAAGAGCAAAAAGAAAAGAGATAAATGGCTAAATAAAGAAAAATAAAAGAAAACTTCAAAGGAAACAAGAAAATGATTAAAAATAAAAGATAGAATGAAAGAAAGTCTAAAAAAAAAAAATAAGGGAAAGAAAGAAAAATAAGAAAGAAAGTAAATAAAAGGAATGTTTTTGAAAAAAATGCCAAACAAATGTAAGCAATAAATAAAGAAAAATAAAATTAAAAAATAAAATAAAGAATAAAATAAAAAATAAAATAAAAAATAAAATAAAAAATAAAATATAAATATAAATGCTGGAAGAAAAAATGGCAAAAAATATAGGAAAGAAATAAAACGCTAAATACAGAAAAATAAAAGAAAGGAACACTTACGAAATACTAAATTTAAAAAAGGAAATCAAATAATTAACTAAATTAAAAGGAAAGGGATAAAGAAAGCGGCAATAATAAATAAAGGGAAAAAAACAAAAACTGCAAAAATAAACGAAAGAAAAAGAAACAGAATAGATAGATAGATAGATAGATAGATAGATAGATAGATAGGGAGTAAGGAAAGAAAGGAAAAATCACACATAAAAAGAAAGAAGGAAAAGTGGTAAAAGATGGAACATGGCATAAAAAGAAAGATGATTTTAAGATAAACAGAAATTAAATACAGCGGAAAATAAAGAGTAACAAAAAAAAACACATACGAAAAAAGAAAGAAAAAAGATAGACAGAAAAAAGACCAAACGACCGAACGCAAGATACAGTATATAAAGAATAGACAAACAAATTTAAAGTGATATAAAATCAACGAAAAAAAATCAAAAAAAAAACAGAAATAAAAAATCTTGGTTAAACAAAGCTGAAACGTGAACAAACCCAGCAAAAATAAAATAAATCCAAGAGAGAAAGGAAATGGGAAGGAAAATTCGCAAAGAACTCATGCCAAACAAAACCTCAAAAATAAATGAATAAATCTGGTATTTGCATAAAATGAATTCAGGACAAAAGAAATTTTACAAATTATTTCCTTGTTAATTGGTTTGCTGTAATTTTCCCGCGTCTCATTTGAATTTTACTCTTTCTTGCCTTTGCATGATTTCTCAAGTTCCATTTTGATGGGGTTTTGTCGGATTACACTATATTTTGGCATTTCAGAGGAGATTTTGGTGACGTTTTTGCTATTATTCGCTTGGGGTTGACAGAATTGTTTTTTTGTTTGTTTGTTTGTTTTTTTTTTTATCTTTAGATAAAAAGAAACAAAGAAAAATAAATGAATTCCTTTCGGCCATAAAAAAAAGATTCTGATGGCACGGATCCACTTACGTTGTTTGTTGCCCAGACAATAGAAAATTCTCTCTGGCTATAATTATTATTGACTTCTTGTATTTATTTATTAAAATAGACTGATTTCTTTGTTTTCAGTGCGTCTTTAATTCCTACGTATTTTCCCTTATTCATTATTCCTTGCCATTTTCTGGCTACTTTCTTAATTTCAGTCTTTGCTTTTTTTTTTCTTATCTGATTTCAGTCTTTTAATTCTTTATTTTCTTTCTTTCACTTTTCTTTTTCTTTTCTAATTTCTTTTTTTTTTACATCTTATTTCTTTTTTTTCAGTTCTCCTTTGTTTATCTTTCTTTCTTGTCTCCGTTTCTCTATTCGTTTACATTCGTCTTCTTTTTTTTATTATTCATTTATACTTTACTTTAGATTTTTTCTTTTCTTTCTTTCTTTCTTTCTTTCTTTCTTTCTTTCTTTCTTTCTTTCTTTCTTTCTTTCGTTCAGTCGCCCTTTCTTTTTACTCGTTTTTACTTTTTTTTCATTTTTTCTTTTCTCCTTCTTTTTTTGTTTTTCTCTTTTGTCTTTGGTCTTCTGTCTACTCTCTCTCCCTCTTTCTCACTGTTTTATCGTTTTCTTCTGTACTTAATTTCTCCTATTGGTCCATTGTCCTTTTTACTTTTTTACTACTTTTATCTTTTAATTATATTTGGGATTGTTTCTCTCTCTCTCTCTCTCTCTCTATATATATATATATATATATATATATATATATATATATATATTGCATCCAGCTAGGGGCAAATAGTTGACCATCAAATTGAGGTCAAATCACTATAAAGTGTAATAACAGGTTTTAATACCCTCAATATATTTTTGGAAAAAAAATATTGCTACCTCTATATTTTTTGAAAAAAAATATTACCGGTAATAAAAATGTTGTGGCATTAAATAACCCAATGAGTTTGATATGCCAAAATCAAACAGATTAAAATCCATTTTTTTTCTAATTTCGGACTATTCAGCTATTGAGGTTTGCAATCGAAAGATATTAGGTTTTCAGTTTCTTAAAAAATTGATTTACGAATTTAGGCATTTTATATCGGCCGCTGTAAAATAAATACATTGGAAAGATTAGAAGATGGCAATTGAAAACCAAGGAATAATTGAGGAACCATCAAATTGCAAAGGAAGGAATATGACATAGAACTCTGAAAATGATAAGTCCAGGGAAAAGCTACTTTCTCATAGACTAAATGATCATCTGTATGAGGTAAATCATTTGGATCGCATTAATATATATATATATATATATATATATATATATATATATATATATATATATATAAAAAAAGAAAGAACAGCAAGATATATAATCCGGTGTTCTTATAGATATTTTATTTTTACAAAATAGTGCTCAATGTAAATTTACAGAGCATTAATAAGAACGGAAGTTAGATTTCATTGAAAAATGCATCCCTTCCCACGACCCAAACGTAGCAATAACTGATACATTAAATTATAGATATATGAAAAACCCAGTCACCCCTGTCAAGAAAAATAGATTTATCTGTAACCTTGGAAACATGAATTTTGTTTCAGCTGTGTATTTAAAACCCAGTAATTTTAAAAAGTTACTCCAAAATTCGCCTGAGGATGAAATGGAAATAATGTTTTAATTTAATCACAAAATTAAATTCGTGGCTTTTAGCTTCCATTTTTGAAACATGGTTAGAACTGTGTAGCGAAAAAACTATATTTTAAATCAATTAATTTATAATATATATATATATATATATATATATATATATATATATATATATATATATATATATATATATATATATATATATATTGCATTAATTATCAGTCTATATTTCTGAGATAAGGTATTATGTACATTATTTACATTATTCGTACAATTGTCCTCATCTTTGTCGCCATATTTATTGGAACTTTTCGGCCGTTATACACCCCTTCCTTCTTCAGATGGTTGCAATGTCGAATTTTATTTCGCTCACTGGTGTAGACTTTTCTAGTTCCATGTACCATGTTTAATGGATGTCATGTATCAGTTATCACCTGGTAATTCCCCTCTCAAGGACACATGTGGATAATGGCGTTGGTTAGATCCAGTGACACGACCCACAAAGTATGAGTTCAATTCCCGGTTAAGGAAGTGGAGAACTTTCAGAGGGAAATTAACAGAAGATAACTGATAACTGACATCCATTAAACATGGCACGTGTAACTAGAACAGTGAACGAAATAAAGGGTTAAGTTCGACATTCAAACACCCGAAGAAGGCCGGAGCGTACAACGGCCTAAACGCTGTAATAAATGATAAATAATATGAGGACAATAGTACGAATAATGTGAATATTGCATTAATAGTAATTATAATATATATATATATATATATATATATATATATATATATATATATATATATATATATATATATATATATATATAGTTAAACCTAGTTAAACCTACAGCCAGACACATATATGTATATGTTGCATTAATTGTGATTCAATTATATATATATATATATATATATATATATATATATATATATATATATATATATAAAATATGTGAAAATATATAGATGATAGGAAGGAACTGGTTAGGTAAATAATCCAAAGTTCCTTAGTATTTTAGTTATTATTTTTACAAAAGTAGAGCATAAATATAATTATTTATTTAAGAATATGATTCCAACTCGCGACATAAGATGTCTTATGTCTTATGTCGCGAGTTGGAATCAAATAAATAATTAATAATATATATATATATATATATATATATATATATATATATATATATTTTATTTTCCTATCGTTTTCTTCAGTTTCTCATTTTATTACTTTCATTAATTTTCCTTATTTCCTTTTTTTTCTTTTTATCTCCTTATTTTAATGTTTCAGAATTTTTCTTTTTACATCCATTTTGACGTATTTTTTTTTTATTTGACTTCCTTCCGATTTTGTTCCATTCTTTATTTCTTTTTTTTTTTTTGTTTATCCAATATGCATCTTCTATTCTTTTTCCGTCTTCCTCTACTTCTAATTTTGTTTTTCCTTTCTTCGCATTTGTCTTTATTATTTATCATTCTCTACATCATTCTTTCTTCCCATTACACCCATTATGTATTTTTCACATCTTCATTTATATTTCGCTTTTTTCTTTCATCCCTTCTTTACCTTTGTATCGTTTCTTCTTACTTTCTTTTTCCCTTTTTGATTCCTTCATTTCATCTTTCTTCTCATCTTCCTTCTGATTTTATTTTTAACATTTCTTTACATTTCTTTTTTAACTCATCTTTTCTCAGACATTTTCTTCTTCATTATTCTTATTTCTTACCGTTGTCATGTTTTCCGGTTTTTTTATTTTTTTTATTTTTACCCATCAAATTCATTCTTCAAGAAATCTGTTCGCGTGACCCTGTTAAAGCATTCGAGATTTTCTTTCATAATTTCACGAGACTTCCAGCTTTTAACGGATAATTTTCTCTTTTTCCTTAATTTCTTAAAAATCTGGTTTCCAGTCATGCGTTACCTAAAGATTTGTTTCTATTCTACATGTAATGATTCTAGAATTTCAGTCTTAATTTCTTAGGGGGAAAAAAAGAATCGCAGTGATTTTAAGAGTTCCATGTCATATTCCTTCATTTACAATCTGATGGTTCCTCAATTATTCCTTGGTTTTGAATTGCCATCTCGTAATCTTTCCAATGTATTTATTTTACAGCAGCAATTATAAGATGCCTTAATTCGTAAATAATTTTTTCAAAAACCTGGAAAGCTAATATTTCTCGATTGCAAACCTCAATAGCTGAATAGTCCGAAATTAGAAAAAAAATGGATTTTAATTGATATCTGTAAGAGAAAAATATCAATAAATCCAAAAATAAATAAGAAACGCTTACCTTAGCTGATGCATTTCGTCCATCTGAAGAACTCTTTCAAAGCAAATGCAACGATTTTATTTTGTAACAAGTATTTATATACAAGAGCAAAAATGTAACTGTTTTTAGAAATTTTCAAATTTAAAAATATTCATGACCGTCCTTAATTTTCTTTTTTAAAACCAATAACATTTTTCTATTGTATATATACTTGTTAAAGCTAATATAAGTTTTTCTTTTTGTCTTTATTCATATATATATTGTTGAAGCTTGGATAAGCATGGAATAATAATAATACAACACAAAAGGTACGTAAACAAAATGTATTGAAACAAGGAAAAGGTACACAATATTTACAGTTAGTTTGGTATATTCTTGGGAAGACTGTTCCTGTAGAATGGGTTGACTTAATCGCAGTCGGGCAGAGTCTCTCGATTGGATCTCTTCTTACTTCTCCCTTCGTCTTCCCGGTACCAACCCATATTTATATGGTCGGTACTCCACTATGTAAATTAGGTGGATCGTACCACAACATATATATATATATATATATATATATATATATATATATATATATATATATATATATATATACACGTGCGTGTGTGTGCGTGTGATAAAATGTAGTTTTAATGTATGCTATATGTATAGGTATAATTGCTCAGTATCGAAGATAAGCGTAGATAAACATAAATTCGGATCCACACACACACACACACACACACATATATATATATATATATATATATATATATATATATATATATATATATATAGTCTTTTTACCAGAGTACAGAAATTGTATCGTTTTACTTCCCTTTTTTTGTTCCTTTCGTAGTTCAGCAAGTTTTTAGATTGATCACTGTTTTTGATCACTTCCGGTTAGCCGTTTGTTTTCACTGACGCCTCTCACAATTAAAAGCATCATGCCAACTAAGTTGTTGGTCGTTTTATCATTCTCTTAACCTCATCCTCAGTGTTAATCATCAGCGGTTTGTAGCGTTTAATGCCTTTTCTGTCTATATTTCTCCATTTTATTATCATGTTATCATTCGAAGTTTAGTTTAAAAGAGATATATTCTATACGTTTGGATCTCTCAGTATAACATCCTTTCAAAACCTGTCACTTACCGCACACTCTACTGCCAAATTAAACTTACTTGTAACTTCCTTTCCCCTGAACTCACTGTAACATTGAAATGTATTCCAGTAGCGAACTTTATGCATGTTCATGTAAACGAAGTATTTGCTACATTCCTTTAGCCTTTTAGACCAATGCTGTTACTTATATGTTCAGCCTTCAGCTGCTTTTTGTTTTTTTTTTGTTTTTAAAGCTACTATACATTTCAGACTACTATATATATATATATATATATATATATATTTAAGACTATATATATATTTCAGACTAGTATATATATATATATATATATATATATATATATATATATATATTTTCCTGATATATGTGATATAAAATGGGATGACAGGGTCAAGAATAGTGCAATACTAAGAAATGTAACAATATCACAGAATTATATATGCATAGGCTTCCAAAGAAGGTGCTGCATGGATAACTACCAAACTTCAAGCGTTCAGTTGGACGTCCACTCTTACACTACAAAGGCATATTGAAAGACAACTTGAAACATCGCAAGTTTGATCTGAAAACCGGGGAAACCCACGCATCAAGCCTAAAGGAATGGTGTAAAACATGCTTCATTAAGTTAAAGGGTTTTGATGACAGTAGACTGAAGTATCGTGATCAGCTTCGACATGCTCTGAAGTAGAGATACCATCAAAATCCTGCTTTAACAAATTTCATCTGTCAGTGTAGCTTTATTGCCTGCAGCAACGCTAAGCCTGTATCACACTTAAGAAAGCACTAAAGAAATATGTCTTTCCTTTGCCTGATTTTCTCCACAGTGGCTCCTGCTAGCATGTATAAGATTAAAAAAGAAAGGGACCATCTAATGCTGATACTCATTTATCGGTCAAAATAGGAGAGCCAATATATATATATATATATATATATATATATATATATATATATATATATATGTGACTCTATAATGGACTCTCACGTCGGTTTCGACGTATTAGGATCTGCCAGCTTATTGATTCAGCTATGAAAGTTTATGCGATAATATTAAGTGGCATTTAAGACCCGCTAGTGTTTTACAAAGGAGGCTGCACGTGCAGCAGGTGTGAGAATTGTGAGATGAGATCACTGTTAGATTGGCTGACCTTTTAGATCTTGTTCTCGCTCCTTGAAGATGATTCAGACAAGCAGATTAAAAATTGCTGAGTCCACTAAAACACGTTGATCTCCATTCTACTCGCTCCAAAGCTAAGTGCTCAAGGGTGTTATGTGGTATAATAATTGCTGACAAGTTGCTTTTCATATTCATATATATATATATATATATATATATATATATATATATATATATATATATATATATATATATATATATATATATATTTCAATAAATCCTGTGAAAGCACGTGTTTCATTAATATTTAATCTTGGTTTAATGAGTGATATTTTACGGTGTAAAAATATGGGTTTCATTTTATCTTTTTGCGAAGAATTTCATTTTTATTGTTATTTTAATATTTTAGGCGTATATTCTTTATCTTGAAATGACTGTCGACGGAAACTCGAAATAAATAGCTATGAGGCTTGTATGAATTGAAATAGGCGATAATCCCTCGAATAATATTGTAAACTTACGAGAGGCAAATGAATTCCGGTACAAAATCCCCCATGATTTCTTTCTGACTTGAGAGAAGATTGATGTAAAACCGTAATTGGATTCATTTTTGTAAAAACTCTCTGATTCAGAGGATCAGGCTTTTTATCCATTTCCAAAATCATAACGGTGACCTGTCAATATCTATTTTTTTTTAAGACGTTAAGCCCATCGAGTGGACACGAACAATGTATTGTCGTTTGCGAGGAATCTATCTGAATCAACGTTTTATTTTAATATATTTTGAAATTCGGAATCAAAACAACCTTCCAAGAAAGAAAACTCAGAACCGTTTTTTTTCCTTGCAACATAATACAGGCATAAGAAACATTTTTGCATTTCTCCAAAAACTCGCAGAGAAACAAAAGCTATGAACATTACTGACACATCTGGTCTGTATTTAGAGATTCTTCATGAAATAAAGAGAATAATTTGCAATATTATTATCCCTGACCTCGAATCTCGTCTTCAGTCCCCTTCGGATGACCGTAACGTAGCTTCCCTGTGTTGCTTCTATGAATACTAGCATGGCAACTGTTCTGAGGAATTTTCCTCTATGGTAAATAGACTTTATGAATTTAAGCGTACTACTAGATTTACAAAAAGGCCTCATCATTTTACAGTTGAAATGGCTAGATCTAGACGTAATTTCTTTGCTATTAGTTACTTTTCTCGCACTTCTTGTTTGTGGAACTCACTTCCGGCTTGTTACTTCCAAGTCTTTTCGATCTTCAAAAATTTAAATGCAACGTCAATTGTTATCTTCTGTCTTCTTAATTTATGTTACTTTATTGTTCTCTTTCATTAACAATGTTTTCATATAATTTCACACTCAGTAACCCCTTGGGCATAACTGGCTATATTGCCTTGCTCAGAGTGAAATTATTTAAAAAAAAAACCAAAAAAAAAACCATCTTTTTTTGACAGGAGCAGAAAAAAAAAAAGCAGAATACGAAATGAATCGTTATCGGAGAAAAAATTGATTAGTGTTTGCTCTGACGATGTTGATATGATCTTCTTTGATTCAATGTTACAGTTATAGACGACATACATACATACATACATATATATATATATATATATATATATATATATATATATATATATATATATATGTATGTATGTATTTTCAGCACTCAATCTCGCGCGATCGTACACGCACACACAGGCACCTGCATGGGTTGAAACAGACTGCCGCTCGGTGATGACATCAATGTAGATATATTAATAATATATTCAGCACCTGAAGATTACGTTGTGCAAGAATCGTGCTATATATATATATTTTATTGATATATACTTCATAGCTCTGTTATATTACATCGTGCATTGTTTTATTAACACCAGCAGTATATGTGTGATATATTATAATTATATATATATATATATATATATATATATACAATTATAAATACATATATATATATATATATATATATATATGACGTCCCCGGTGTCGCTGCGCCAAATGTGACGTTTGCCTGGCTGCGCCGCCGTGCTGTCCTGTCCACGGCGCCAATTGTGACGTCACCCGTCTGTCTCCGCGCCGTCGCCGTCCTATCCTGTCCCGTGACGATCAATGTGACTTGGTATTAGTCGCGGCACCAAATGTGACGTTCTAACCTTTTACTGATTCGGATGGAAATCTGGTTAGATTCGTTATCAACCTTGTCGTTCCCAGCTCGCCTCCAACGTCTGGTTACCGAAGTAACTGTTTTGATTTCTAGTCTAACCTACCCACGTTGTGATTTGATCTTAGGTAGACGAAATCAATTAGTCGCCGGGCCGTAATGCAAGCTGAGTTCGGACAAGGGTAATATCGCACAAGTATATGTAAAAGAAA